CAACCGTATCTTGACCACGAACTTCCCCAGCGTTGAAGACATTCGTTGCCATCTCCTTCAGGTAGCGTATCTTCCTCTCGACTTTGCCCATGTGCCAGTGGGCCTCTGGAGCCGCGTTGTTGATCACAATGCCTAGGTCGTTGCACAGCGTCTCGAACTCGCCCATAAAGGTAGAGTCCTGGTCCTGCTCCACAATGCGTGGTGGCCCGGCCCAGGTAAGCCATCCGAGTTCGACAGCCTTCTTTGCTAACTCTGCCGTAGGTCTCGATCCGGGACACGTGTAGATCGCCACGGTGAAGTCCGAGGCCACGTCCACGATAATAAGCACCACGTGCATGTTCTTGTCCAGGTCGGGAATGATCATGAAGTCCATGCTGATGGCTTCGTTCAAGTCCTTAACCTTAGGCTGAGCTGCCGTAGGTCTCGCTGCCGTCCGAGCCTGCTCTTCACACGTCGTGCATCTGAAGAGACGTGCTGCTTGTGCGGCTCGTCGGCTAGCTCCACCATGCTGTAGATGCCGTGCCAGTGCCTCCTTGCAGGGTCCATGTGAATGGCTCTCGTGTATATTCTTGATAGCTGCCCGCATGAGTGGTGGCACCGCCGTCCATTCCGCTATCTCGATGTTCTCGCCATGCTTGCTGGAGATCGCCGCCGCGCTAGCGTGCATCGGCGCCTCCGTGTCCGCAGGGTTGGCCTCGAACTCGTCCCAGTCGATGTCGTCGAAGTAGTTGGCGTACCGGGCGTAGCCACCATGTTGCTTCTCCAGGTCCCGCTGGTCCTCGATGCCGTCCAAGATCGTCTTGGCCAGCTCCTTGGTCCAGTTCCCGAGGCTCGATGCTGTTCCCTTCGGCCTGTTGATCGCGCTCGTGTGTGCGTGCTGCTCGTCACACCTGATGATGTTGAGCTTCTTGCCCAGCACGATGGCCGTCGTCAGGAACCTAGTCGGCTTCTTGACTGGATCGCCCATGAAGTCCACCAGGTTGCTGCCCTCGGCGCACTGGTGCATCTTCGCGCTCACGAATTCTGAGCCCAGCCATGGCACAAGCTGCCAGGCTCTTGACGCCAATGGTTTTCCAGGAGCATATGAGCTCCTCGGCGCTTGCAGTTGAGCCAGATCTTCTTGACAAACTGCAGGTGCTTCATGCCGATTGCCAACTTACGCATCTTCGTGCCCTTCGGGAACATGTGGAATATGTTCGTGAACGGGTCGCAGGGGAAACCCACAATGGTCATGTAGGGGTCATCTTCGTTCAGCTGCTTCAGGACGGTCTTCTGCGACTTCGCGCCCAGCAGGTCGTCCCCGATCAGGATGTCCCTCGGCCTCGTCACTGGATGCCGCCGCTGCTGAGCTTCTGATGTGGCTGCCATGCCACCTGCGTAGATCTCGCAGATGATGGGCCGCTTCTCCTCCGGGTCCGCCTTCAGCGTGTCCACGATCTGCTGGCACTGGTCCAGCTTGTCCTGAATCTCCTTCTCCCACGTCTCGATCTGCTTCCTCTGCTTCCGCTGTAGCATGCCCTTATCGATCTCCTGGACCTCCGCAATCCAGATGTCGATCTCGTCGGACGTGACTGATGGCTCGATCTTTGTCGTCTCCTTCTTCGGCCACTCCTTGAGCGAGATCGTCAGGTGTCCCTTCTCCGTCTTGTTGAGAGGCACTCCGTACTTGTTGATCGCCTTGAAGTCCGCCTTTTGATCCTTGATGTATATCACTGTGTTGAGCTCCTCCAGCTGGTGGATGCTCAGCAGTATTGGCGTCTTTGACTTCGGCAACCTCTGGAAGCGTAGGTTCACGTCAGTTCCAGCAAGTCCAGAAATCACCTCTTGTTCTCCTTCTGCCATGACCGGGGCGCTATCATTCAAGCCTCGGAAGCGCATGGATGATCCTTTCATCCGCGTGGTGACTCTGCCATCCTCTGTGTAGCCGTCCAGTGATATTGAACCTCCACATCCACGTAGGCACGCAGTGTCCAGTACAGCATGTCCATCTAGAATATGTCCTTTTCGTACTGCATAGGCTTCGATTTCTTCCAGCTCCTCGCAAGGTTGCTGCCGCCCTGGTGGCGGTGTGCGGTCACCCTCTGGAACGTAGTTGGTTCCAGCTCGGCGTTGCGTCCACAACCATGTCGGTCGTACTCCAATCGGTAGGCGCTTGCAGGTACTCCTCACGATGTCACGAAGCTCCGAGGTCCTGTCCCAGGCTGCTTTCGCATAGATCGTAGGCCATATTCCTGAGGCCGTTCGGTGCCATCTCCATGGTGAGGTGCATGAGCTGCTGGAAGCGATGTAGGGCCCAGTCCAAACAGAACTCCATCTAGTCCCTGTAGGCCGCTTCCATGTTCTCGCAGCTTACCCATAACGCTGCGATCTGCTCCGCACGATCTCGTATCTTCTGTAGGTCGGCCTCTGTGTTGTCTTCTTCCAGGTAGTCTGTACTTGGTGTGCTGGGCTCCGTCCTCGACCACGTCCCTGGTGTCGGTCTGCTCGTTGAGCTCACTGGAGTGCTCAGGGGTTCGTCAGGTTCTTGTGCTTGGTGCTCTCCAGGTACTGGGTATGGTTCGTGTGCCTGGTCGATCCTCTCTTGGAAGTTCAGCTGGTCTCCTGTTGCTGACACCGCGTAGGCGTTCACGATCTGCTCCTCGGTGTCAATTCTCACCTTCGTCAGACTCGTGATCTCCTCCATCGCCACGTCTATGCTTGCCAGTTGGTCGCTGACAATCTGAATGGTGGTCATGTCCATCGAGCTGTCCGCCATCAGCAGCTTGACCGCGGTCGCCATCGCGAATCCAGCTCGTCGTAGAAAACCACCAGGTCGTCCGTGAAAGCCTCGTCCTCCACGTCCGCCTCCTCGTCCTCCACGTTGTAGCGTGCTGGATCCACTCGCTGGTGACCTCGTCTTTTCGCACTCGGGGTCACCCTTCCAGTGACCCTTCTTGTGGCACGCGTTGCACTTCGTGCGCGCCTTGATCTGCTTCAGCTTATCCTCAGCCTCTTTGCTGTCCATCTTGATGGAGCCCTGCTTGTTGATGTTGGCTTTCCAGCCTCTATTCGACTTGCTCTGAGCAAGCCGCTCCCGGGCCTGCTTGTAGTTGGGCTTGTGGTTGCGCCGTCCAGCCTTCCAGCCAAGACGTTGAGCCTCCGTCGCCAGGGTGTCGCACTCCTCCTGGCTGATCTCGTCCGGGTCCACGTCATCAATCACTCCCTCGAACTCGTCGATGTCCGCTGCAAGTGCGTCGTAGTCCGCATCACTCAGGAAAACGTCCTCGTCGCACGGTGCACATTCGTCTCCGAGTAGAGCATCTTCTTCTTCGTCGTCGTAGTCCACTGGGTAGGCTCCGTATCGTCCATGTCCACGATCGTCTCGGCCCGTGCTGTCCAGCTGTATCAGCATGGCTGCCGTCACGTCGTCCCAGATGTGTTCGTTGTTGCATTGGCCAAGGATTGCCTTGTGCTCTTGCATGCTGATGTTCGCTAGCTTTAGTAGGAAGTATGTCCGTAGGTCTTCGCTGACTGTCGTGTTCGCTGAAAGTGACTTGGGCCGCTCGTACTCCGTCTCTCGCCTCGATATGTAGTCCTGCACAGACTCCGTTCGATTGCGAAGACCTCGGAAGAAATACTCCTCGAACGCTTGTTGCTTCTGTGGTGGTGCGATTCTCTCGCACGCCTGTCGTACTGTAGTTACCACCAGTTTGACTGCAGCAAGTGGGTCATTACCTGCTTCGTCTAAAACTGCCTGCGTACTGATCTCAACCTTCTTACGTGTAAGTGTCCACGCTCGTCCATTTAGAGAATTCTTGAGCTTGATCGCATAGAGCTTCTTGATCTTCTCCTCGCTCGCGTGGTAGCCGAGTATTGCACGCTCCTCGAACTCCTCGCCGTAGGATGGGTCTCCGTTGTAGTGTACCACGCCCTCCTTGTCAACGAAGAGGGGGCCGTCATTGAACTGTTGCTGCTGCCTGGACGTCATCTTGATGACCGTGATGCTACTGAGCTTGTCACTGATGTAGTAGCTGTCTTGATCGTTGCTGCTGTAGTTCTGCTGCTCGCCCGGGATGCTGTTGATGCAACGATCCTCGTCCAAGTTGTTGCAAGTAATGATTTTGAGCGTTTTGTCGATCACCGTGATCTGTTGAGCGCAGTGGTTAAGCACCGCGAGGATGTAAGTGAGATCCAGCATATATCTGCACGGCCACTCTGTATGAAATCCTCGTACCGTGGACTGATTCAGCTCACGCTACCAGTGTAAATATTGATCCAAATCTCTCCACCCACAACCTCTTGATGCAAGAAGAAACAGGCAGATGATAGGATATCTTATACCGAATCAAACTCAGCGTTCGATAGGTGCGTCCACCCTCCCGCCTCAGCTGGCGGGTCCAAGCCACAAATGGCAATAGTGAACAAGAGAGTGCAAGCATGAGCGAGCGAGAGCAGCAACATAGATAATTCTAAACATCATCCTATATCTCACATCCTTGCTAATACAACTTTCACAAGAGGCAGGGTTCGCAAGCGGCTCCCCGCCCACAACATGTCCACTCTGGCACACCCTTCACACGTTTCGTGGCCACATACAGAGCTACACCGACGGCCCCAGCTGCAGGGTTCACATGCGGCTCCCCGCGCACAGCATGTCCATGTCGGCCCCACCCCCTCACACGCCTCGTAGCCCCGTGAGCTCCACCGAAGGCCCCAGTGGCAGGGTTCACATGCGGCTCCCCATCCACAGTATGTCCGTTTCGGCACACCCCTCACACGCCTTGTGACGCCATAGGGAGTCCCACCGAGGACGATACTCACAAGTGCGTTACTCACAATCGCATATGGTTGGGTCCTTCGCCAGGATAAGTTGTTTGTCGTGTTGCTTTTGGCATTGTGCTACCAGAGGCAACGAACAATGCTTGTTGTTGTTGGTTTAAAGTCGAAAGAGCAGGGAAAGAGGGAGGGGCAGGGCGAGGAAAAGGACCAGCTCTGGCGGTCTGCGGCGGCAGCCCTGCCAGGCGTGGACAAGAGCCCGAGGCCTGGCAGCCAGAGGCCGCTTGTGGCAGCCAGCAAGAGCACCCCGACCTTGAACTCTGAGAAGAAGCCCGGATCTCAGTCGACGGTGTCGCGCGCGCGAATTTAGGTCCCGACGCCCTTCTCTTCTTCTCGAAGCATTGCGGCCAACGTCTGTGAACCACACAGCTCCAGCGCAGCCATTGTGTTGACGACCGTGCCCCCCTTTGCCGTGGGGAGCACAACTTTCTCCATCCTCTGAAGGGCTCGGCGGCGGTGTACCCCAAGGTGCTTGCCTCCCAATCCTCCTCATCGTCTTAATCCTACTCCTCCCGTAGCCATTTTGGCTCACGCTGCTCAAACGTTCCTCCCCCGCCGCCCGGCCACCCGCCCAGCCGATCGGACTTCGGAGGAGGAGGAGGAGGAGGACGAGGAGGAGGAGGAGGAGGTGCGCATACTGCGATCTCGGTCACGCCTCCCCCTGTCGACTTCTAGTAGGCTTTCCACTGGGAGCTCTCCCCCTCTCATTCTGTACTGTGCAGGCGCCGCATCCAGAGAAAGGGGCAGGAGAAGGAAGAGGGAAAAGGAGGCGGAGGCAAAAGGACTGAGGCGCGAAGAGGGACAGAGAGAGAAGGGATTAGGTAGGAATGGAGAAGGCCAGCTCATGCTGCGCATCCAGGGGTTCATGTTCAAACGGCCCGTAGATTCTTGAGTTCATCTGCTGAGCCACGCTCTCGTCTTTTAGCCGACCCGTTCTATTGGTTGGGTGATGTTTACGTTCCATGTGTTTCGACCCGCTAGGACATGTCGAATCCCGCGGTCTGCATGGTGGGCGGAGCACGCTGGCCGATCCGACATGGCCAGGAACGTTGTAGGCTCACTCGTTGTCTCATCGTGAACTTGTGCCTCACGGTCGATTGCGAAGACCTTGCGGCCGGCGCCGCAGCCCCTGAAGGCGGGACCTCCGCCGGGACCCTTGCTGGCGAGCCCCCTGTGGGACCCGCCAGGACCCCGAAGGGGGGTGGTATCCGCCCCCCCCCCCCTCCCCCTCCCCAGGTAGGGAAGGGACGGACGGGAATCGACTTAACTGCGACGTTCCTTTTCCTCGTTCCTCAGTTCCCCTGGGACTGGCGACGACGACGACGACGACGACGACGACGACGACGACGACGACGCCAGCGTCTCACACACGCCGAAGGGTCGGCGGATTTGGGCCGACTGGGACTTCGTTGGCGCCGACGGGACCGCTGGTCTCCTCCCGCGCCTTCCACGCCGATCCTCTGTGATCGTGCTGAGCGTTGCGCAGAGCAAGCAGCGCTTCCTTCATCGCTCTCGTCCTTTCCTCATGTTCCTCCTCCTCTTGCTTCTCCTTTCTTCCGTCCTCCTCCTTCCCAGAAGTCCGACGTCGTGTTGTTCGTTTTGTCCTCCCATCTTTATTTGCTGTTTTGTGTTCAGGATGCCAGTTTACTCGATGTCTGACGGTCAGGAAGTTTGGCTTAGCGTGTCGCGCCGCCGGCTCTGGCCCACCACGCATCCGCGCGACACGCTATCCACAACCCAGGGGACGATTTTGGCTTTTGACGGCTCTCTGGGGGAGGCTGTTAGAGGCCTCTGTGGGCACTTTGGAAGCATCTTGAGTGTGGAGGCCATGTTGGGCGGCTTGGAGCGATATTTCGGCGAGTCGGGGCACTCTTGGACCGCCTGGGAGGCTTCTTCGGGGGCCTCAGGGGCTATCTTGGCGCTGCGAAGGCAGCCCGGGGAGGGCCGGACCCCCCCAGTGAGTTCGGCGGGGGGTCGTGCCGAGCCCGCGGGGGGCGTCAAGTTGCCAGTTTGGGGTCCCCTGGGGGGATTACGGGTGGGGAACATTCTCACACGCCTAGAGACCCACAAGGGGTCGGCGGGTTATGATGATGTTGATGATGATGTTGATGATGATGTTGATGATGATGAGAAGGAGGAGGAGGAGGAGGAGGATATTGATGTTAATGTTGATGATGATACTGATGCTGATGCTGATGCTGATGCTGATGCTGATGCTGATGCTGATGCTGATGCTGATGCTGATGCTGATGATCATCATGATGCTGTTGGTGATGATGCTGATGCTGATCATGCTGATGATGATAATGATGATGATGGGTATGCTGGTGATGATGGTGTTGATGATGATGCTGGTTGTGATGATCACTATGTTGCTGATGATGATAATGATGCTGATGATGCTGCTGATGATGAGAGTGATGATGGTGATGCTGAGACGGATGATGATGATGGTGAGGATGATCATGATGTTGATGATGCTGATGATGCCGATGGTGATACTGATGATGATGACGATGCTGCTGTTCATGATGATGGTGATGATGATGGTGATGGTGATGATGATGATGATGATGATGATGATGATGATGATGATGGTAACGCTGATGCTGCTGATGATGACGACGATGATTATGCTGATGCTGATGATGCTGCTAATGAAGTTGCTGCTTCTGCTGATGACGATGACCATGGCGATGACGATGAAGACGACGGCGACGATGATGATGATGATGACGATGATGATGATGATGATGATGATGATGACGATGATGATGATGATGATGATGATGATTATGATGATGCTGATGCTGATGCTGATGCCGATGGTGATGATGGTGATGATGCTGATTGTGCTGATGATGATGCGAATGAGATTGGGAAGGTCTAGCGGCCAGTGCCGCCGACCCTGAAGAGGGACGGCAATGACGACGGCGGCGGCGGCGGCAGCGGCGACGACGACGACGCTGACGCTCTGGAGTCTTTCTTTGGGCTCTCTTGGGAGCCTCTTGGGCTCTGCTGAGACTTGGGCTGGGGCCGCGGCTGGGGCCAGAGCCAGGCCAGGGCTGCGGCTGGGGCCGAGGCCGAGGCTAGGGCCACGGCCAGGGCCCGGGCCGGGGGCCGGGGGCCAGGGCCAGGGCCAGGGCGCCAGGGCCTGTGCCTGGGCTGCGGCCCCTTGGGCTGAGCCCTGTCCAGGTCCGGGCCAGGACCGGAGTGGGGGCCGGGGACGGGGCTGGAGTGGCAGGGACCAGGGCGCCAGGGGAAAACGGATCTGGGTGGCGACCCCCCCCGGGACCCCCCCGCGGGACCCCCCGGGCGCGGGGAAGGGATCACAGGGAAGGGGCTTCCCTTCGATTCCACTCCGATGCTGTTCAATTTTGCTTTGGACGGCGCGTATGAGGAAGAGGGCCCAGGCAACTGGAACAAAGGAGGACGGAGACGGCGACTCCAACGCAAAAGCCCGATTCGAACTGAAAAGACCCTCACACACGCCGACAGGGTCGGCGGAATAATGACGATGATGTTGGTTTTCATGCTGATGATGCTGATGATGATGATGATGATGATGATGATGATGTTCATGATGTTCATGATGATGGTGATGAAGCAGATGATCATGACTGTAACGATGATGCTGAGGCTGATGCTGATGATGTTGCTGTTGCTGCTGATGACGATGATGGTGATGATGCGAATGATGATGCTGACGATGATCATGATGCTGATGCCGCTTTTGCTGCTGCTTATGATGATGCTCATGATGATGCTGAAGACGATGAGGATGACGATGATGATGATGATGCTGATGGTGATGATGATGGTGCTGATGATGATGATGATGATTATGCTGTTTTTGCCGCTGCTTAGTTATGATGATGGTGATGATGATGATGATGCTGATGATCATGATGTAGCTGCTGGTGATGATGATGCTGATGCTGATTATGATTATGCTGATGATGATGCTGATGCAGGGGCTTATGCTGATGCTGATGAATGTGATGATGACCATGATGCTGCTGATGATGATGCTGATGATGTTGATGATGACTGCAATGATAATAATGATGATTATGATGACGATGATGGTGGTGGTGATGAAGATGATGATCATGCTGATGATGCTGGTAACGATGCTGATTATGCTGCTGCTGCTGCTGGTGACGATGATGATCATGATGCGAATGATGATGCTGATAATGATCATGATGCTGATGATGCTTCTGCTGCTGCTAATGATGATGATGCTGATGACGATGAGGATGATGATGATGCTTCTGCTGCTGCTTATGATGATGCTGATGGTGGCGATGATGATGATGATGGTGATGCTCATGATGTAGCTGATGCTGATGACGATGATGATGCTGCTGCTGATTCTGATTCTGCTGATGATGCTGATGCTGATGCAGGTGCTGATGTTGATGCTGATGAGTTTGATGATGATGCTGCTGATGATGATGACTACGATGAAAATGATGATGCCGATGACGATGATGGTGGCGATGCTGATGCTGATGCTGATGATGCTGATGATGGTGGCGCTGCTTATTATGTTGCTTATTGTGATGACGATGATGATGATGATGATGATGATGATGCTGATGATGATGATGGCGATGCTGATGATGAGTAGATTGCTGATGATGCTTCTGCTGCTGCTAATGATGATGGTTGTTATAATGATGCTGATGACGATGCTGATGACGATGCTGATGATGATGATTATGATGATGATGATGCTGCGTATGGTGATGATGCTGCTGCTGATGATGCTGATGCTGCTGATGATGGTGATGATGCTGATGGTGATGATGCTGCTGATGATGAATGCTGCTGCTGATGATGATGATGGTGATGATGCTGCTGCTGCTGCTGCTGATGATGATGATGATGATGATGATGATGATGATGATGATGATGATGATGCTGATGCTGATGACGATGATGACGAGGAGGAGTTGGAGGAGCAGCAGCAGGAGGAGCAGGAGGACGAGGAGCAGGAGGACGAGGAGGGAAGGGCAGGCCTCCTTTTTCTCCTCCTGCCTCCTCCCCCCTCGCCCTCCCAGACCCTCCCAGCCATCGGCAGCCGAGGCCGGCCGCGCTCCAGAAGCCGCCCGCGCGCGCCACGCCCGTCGGCCTCCTCGGGGAGGGCGCCGTCGTGGGCTTCGCCTCGGCGGGGTGCTCGGGGGCGCGCCCTGCGGGCCGCGCTGCGTCGGCGGCGCGCCCCAGGGGGGAAACTTGGCATCGCTTGGGCGTGTGCTCTTTTTCTCGACCAGGCGTAAGAGGGACCCTTCGCCAGAGTGACCTTTGGTGCGGGCCCATTGGGGTCCCCCGATCGCCGAACGCGATGCGGCAGTAGCGTCTTGCGCGCTTGTGTCCGGTCCCCCCGCGACCCCCAAAAAGCCGCGCACCAAAGGTCACTCTTACCCAGGGCCACTCTTGCGTGTAGACGAGGGGAGACCTGGCATCGGTCGGAGGTATGCATTTTTCCTCGGCGAGGAGCATCTAGTAGCATCTTGGACTGGGGGAGAAAGAACCGAACATTTTCTTTGGGTGGAGGGCAAAGGGTGAAATCTTCAGTGCCGTTTCGATGGATTTTCGAGGCTTGAGTCTGCCAAAAGGTGAGTCAGAAGGCGGATTGATTTTTCGAGGTACGAAAGACCATATGGATTTCACCCTGAGCTATTCACCTTGAGAAAGTGCTCAGTAGAAGCGCACGGAGCCGACAAAGTGCACGGGGAATGGACGGCCGAGCGATTGCAAGGGAAGACAGGCCCTGTCCTCCTGGCGCCGCGACAAAATCGTGACCTGCGCGCGGTCGGTCGCCCCCCACCCCTTTCTCGCGGCGGGAGGAGAGGAGTGAGGTGGGAGGACAGAGGAGGGAGGAGGGACGAGGAGGATGAAGGAAGGAGGAGGGGGAGGAGGAAGAGGAGATAGAGGAGGAGGAGGAGATAGAGGAGGAGGAGAAAGAGGAGGAGGGGGGGTGCCCTGACCTCTGGGAGCCCTCCGGGCCCCAGGACCGTCAAAAAGCGATTCGGGATGAGATGAGAAGCCAGCCACGGGGAAAGTGTCAGGGCCTCCGGGGCCCGTTATTGAGCCCCAGGACCATCAGAAACAGATCCAGTAAGAAACAATTCCCTCGGGGATGGGGCCGGGACTTCCGGGGCCGCGGATCGGAAGGGCTAGACCAGAGGATGTTTGGGGAGGGCAGTGGGGGTGGCTTTTTCCGAAGCCACTGATGGCCTCGCAGAAGTGAGAAACGTCAGACTCGAGCTCGCCAGAATCAGGGTGGCTTCGACGCTGCTTGACGGGCCCGTCCGCAGTTTGGGCGGTCTAGTTTCCGTGGGATGTTCGCAGCGTGAGCTCGCGTCGAATTTTCAGACTGGGCCTCTCTCACCTCCCTGACGGCCCTGGCAGGCCAACCCGAGTCCCCAGGGCCCGAGTCTTGCGCCGTCCCTCCCGCGCCCCGCCGGGCGCGCCGCCGACGGGCAGGCGAGTGTTGTCCTGAAGCGAAGGGGTCCTGAGTGAAGCAGGGCTCAGTTCGGCTCCGACTCGATTCGGCATCGATCTCGATCGATACCGATACCGATTTGGTCCGACTTCGGATTCCGCTCTGGGCTTCGTGTATGCCTTACGAGCCTGCCGACTGCCGATTCCCACCGATTCGACTTCTCCCGATTTGGCTGCCGATGTCCGCCGATCCGATTGATTTCGATCGGTGATCCGATTTATCGATTCGATTCTGGGCTCTACTGGGGAAGCGGGTCCCGACGTTGGTCGCCGTTTTCGGCTCTCCCCGGGCCCCAGGAGCGTCAGAGAGCGCCTCGGGACGAAAAGCGAATGCTTACGTCTCCCCGATCGTATGCCATGCTGATTTCTGTTCCCCCCTCCCTGCTCCCTCTCCGCCGCTCGTCGCCTCCGCTTCTGACTGGGGCCGCCCTCCCGCGCGGTCCCCCTGGTCGGCGGGGCGTCCCTGGGGAGAGATGCGCTGGGGGCGGGGTGGCAGTCAGGAGGGCGGAGGGAGGAGGGCTGGGGTGGGGAGGGGAGGGGGCGCTTTTGCTGTTTAATTTAAAAAACAACTTGCTTGAAGGAATCTATTCAGTCGTGGGGTGCTATTACGGACCCCCCCCCTTCCGGCGAAACTATATCGCTTCTCGTCCCGGGCAAAGCTATCTCGCCCCCAGGCTCCTCAGTGCGGGATCTCACCAAGATCATAATAGCATTCCAAAAAGACCCCAATCGAATTCCAATGAGAACCCGAGAGGGTTGCAACATGCTTTCGTTACTTGATGTCCCAATCGGATTCCGATCGGATTCTAGTTGGGGTCAAAGAGGATCCCAGGTCCCAGTAGGACTCCATCACTGGACTCCCCCACGGGAGTCCTCCATTGGGGTCCCCCTAATTGGCGAAAGGGACAGCCCCCTATCCGCGCGGCTGGTGCAGAGGGTCGCATTAATTTATTCTAACCACGAGATGTCTTGAGCGAGAATCGCAGTTTTAAAAGGACGCGCCCTTCTCTCGTCTTTTATTATATTCGGAGTAACACCTACCACTGTTGCTCCGACTACCAGTTCTGTATTGCTCAGAACAGGCTGGGGCACGGGGCACATTGTGGAATACGGGTGCTGGATAACGCCAGCGGTGCGAGGGGGGCGTTATTCTTGGGATTGAGTGCCCTCAGGACCACCAGGGAAGCCATGCGAGGCCAAGAGGGGTGTGAACGGAATCTGCATGGTTGCTGTATAGGCCTCTAGCAATGCTGACCGGCCTCTAGCAATGCTTCTCCCTGCGAAGCCACTTCCCCCTCGCCGCCGCGCGAAGTGTCATGCTCCCGGGTGGGATTGCAAGTGCTTTGGAAGTACTGCGCATTATGACACGTACGCGTGATATATTCGCCCTCGTTCATTCGCAAACGCGAGCGAGCGCACTGCGCCTGCGTCGTTTGGCGCCGTTGGATACTGCTCAAATCGGTAAACCGCATGAGACATCGATTTGTGCGGAGGCGTCGCGCGCAAGGAACAGTATTTGTGATTGCGCCGCGCGCATCGGGTATTTTCTTGGATTCCCCAAACTTGTGCGGAATTTCTCGAAACGGAGGCCGCGCGAAAAAGCAAAATCGCGCGCAGCGATTGTTTGGGCAACTGTCCCACATGTGGCGGCTCGCGCAGATTTCGTCGCGCCCAGGCTCTTTTTTGCAAAGAAATTCCAACCCAAAGCAGGTATTCCAAGACAATCCGCGGAACTTCATCAAATCTACCGAAAGGTTAAATCATAACTATCAAGACTTGGCTTGAGGTAGGAGCGCTAGCCAAAAGCATGAACGTATGACCAACACTCTGGTGCGACAGTGGAAGCCTTGCGCCAGTTCCTATTGGACTGCTGGTCAAGCAGCAGGGCCGTTCGCCTTCGCCGCCCGAGGCGCGCGAAAACGGTGCCCACACGTGAGGGGAATCCATGCCCTACGCGCCTTTCCCAGCGCCCACTGCGAAGGGCCGATATGCATTGCCCGTGCATCAGCCTGGGCCAAAACATTGGTTGGGCGCACGGGTCGCAGATGGGAACTAGTTTGTCGAATATCACCTGCATTCTAGTTAATTCATTTTTCTACACGGTTGCTTACATTACTATATTTTAGACGCTTCGCGTGACCCACCAGCCCACCCAGAAACGATGCACAGACGAGCTGCCCTGATCAGGGACGTGGAGAAGAACGCAGTGGAGCAAAGGGTTGGGTAAGACGTCGTGCCCCGAAGTGGCGGAGGATGGAGGAGGAATCGGAGGAGGAGAAGGAGGAGGAGGACGAGGAGGAGAAGGGAGAGGGGGGGTGGAGGAGGGACGAGGAAGCAGGAGGAACGGACGGGTGAGGAAGAGGAGGGGGAGAAGGAGGAGGAGGAGGAAGAGGAGGAGGAGAGGGGAGGAGGGGGAGGAGGAGAGGAGAAGAGGAGGAGGGAGGAGGAGGAGGAGGAGGAGGAGGAGGAGAGGAGGAGGGAGAGGAGAGGAGGAGAGGAGGAGGATGAGCAGGAGAAACGCGGAGAGGGCGCCCAAGATAGCCTTGCTCCACACCACCCGCAGGTGGGGGGAGGGGAGAGGACGAGGAGCAGGAGAGGGAGGAGGAGGAGGAGGAGGAGGAGGAGGAGGAGGAGGAGGAGGAGGAGGAGGAGGAGGGGGAGGAGGTGGAGGCGGGAGGAGAAGGAGGGAGGAGGAGGAGGAGGAGGAGGAGGAGGAGGAGGAGGAAGAGGTAGGGAGTCCTAGGGATCCGTTTTGGAGCCCTCCTGGGGCCGTCCCGAGGCTCGGGGAGCCGACCCCAAAGGCCCAACTCATTGGAGAACCTATTGTGTTTTCTATGATTTTGGCTTTCTCGTGCTGTCGGTTTCCTGCCCCAGATCCTTGACAAGTCGCGACGGGAGGTTTTTCGCTATTGTCGGCTTCTGGGGGCCCTCGCCAGGCCCCAAGACCATCAAAAACGATTCAGGACGAAAAAACAGATATGGGGAAGGTGTCGAGACCTTTGCTGGGGTCGACGTGATGACAACATCACGACGTCGGGGGCCTGGGGAGAGTCCAGGGGGTCCCAACGGGAGCCGATAGACATGCGTCCAACGCAAGAAGGGATGGGTAGAAAGGGGAGGATGTCAGATGTGGCGCGAGCGCATCTATCTTGCCCTCTCCGCCCTTTTTTTCCCCCCCTCTCCTCTCCTGTTTCTGGTCTGGTCAGGACTTCCCTGTGCTGATGGGCGCGCGCAGGGAAGCGCCTGGCGCACGGGAGGGGGCAAGGGCAGGCCCTCTTTGGAGTGCCGGAGCCGTTCACGGTGGTTCCAGACGAGCCCGTCGAGGTGATGTCCGTGAGCTTGGCCGACAGGCCGAGGGGGGGAGGTGCGGGGCGATGTGGGGCTCCCCTCCTCGTCGCGGCATTGGGCTGTATACTCGGGCTCCCTGCCTCTGGAGGCATCGTGGGGCCTCTGTCGCCGTGCTTGTCCCGAATGCGGGGACAGCCCGAATACACAGGAGCCGGACTGGATTGTAAGAGGGGGAAGGGGGGGAGAGAGAGAGAGATAGGGAGAGAGATGGCGAGAGACATGTGTTACGTGTGTATATGTAAAGAAACGTTTTGAGACGAGAGAGAGAGAGAAAAAAAAAAAAAAAAAAAAAAAGAGAGAGGGAGAGAGAGAGAGAGAAGGAGAGAGATGCTGGGGGGTGATGCACACGCCTGGGCGCACGGTGCGGGTCCTCGTGCAGGCGACGGGCCAACGCATAGGGAAACGAAAAGTGGCATAAACATAACAACCCGGAGGTTCTCGCGGATTTCTCGGATCGGCGCTGGGGCCCTCCCAGCGGCGCCTCCGGCGCCGCCCCTGGCGCGCTCCGCGCGCTATGGAGGGGGGTCCGGTGCCGATCCGAGAAATTCTCCGAGTTTATGTTTATGCCATCTTTTGTTCCCCTAACGCAGGCCCGCTTGCCCCTGAGCTCGTGGGCTCCTGGTGGAGCCTGCCCAGGGTCCCACGCCGCCGCGCTCGCGCAGTGGGGCCGCGAACCCATGGGGAGCCCGGCCCAAGGCCGCGCAGCACGGCCCGCCTCTCCCGCGTGGGCAGCGAAGACAAAAAAAGCAGAGTCGGAGGTTGGGGGGTGAGATCGAAGTGGAACGGAGAGCCCCCCTACCGGGAAATCGATTTCGGTTTCGTGTTCGTGCGTGCCGTGCGGGCGAGGCGAAGCTGCGTGGGCGGGCGAGAGAAAGTCTCCTGTGGCTGAGGCGCGGCCGGAGCAAAAGAACCTTGACCGGGCGGCCGGTGCCCCGCGGTGTCCCGCCGGTGTCCCGCTGGTGTCCCGTGTGGCTGAGGCGCGGCCGGGGCAAAAGAACCTTGACCGGGCGGCCGTTGCCGCGCGGTGTCCCGCCGGTGTCCCGCCGGTGTCCCGCTGGTGTCCCTTCGGTGTCCCGTCGGTGTCCCGATGATGACGTGGATGATTATGGTGATGATGATGATGATGATGATGATGATGATGATGGTGATGATGGTGATGATGATGATGATGGTAATGATGATGATGATGTTGATGATGGCGATGATGATGATGATGATGATGATGATGATGATGCTGATGATGATGATGATGATGATGATGTTGGTGTCGTTGTTGATGATGATGATGACGTCGATTGTGAGATCGGTTGTGATATCGATAGTGAGACCGAATGTGAGATCGATTGTGCGATGCTGATGGTGATGATGGCCATGATGGTGATGATGATTGTGATGATGATGACGACGTTGATGATGATGATGCTGATGATGATGATGATGACGATGATGATGATGTTAATGGTGATGTCGATGATGATGATGATGATGATGATGATGATGATGATGATGATGATGATGATGATGATGATGACGACGTCGATAGTGATATCGATTGTGAGATCGGTAGCGAGACCGAACGAGACAGGTTGGGCAGGTTCCCAGGGGAAGGGTGACGTAAACAACTCGACACCAACGCCCCCAAGAGCGAGCGGCAACGCAACTATCTCCACTGGCATTGTCACAACAACATTCACCACTGTTGCCCATTGCTGCCCCCCCCCCAACCTCCTTATCACCCGCAGGGTGGTCGTATAGGTAGCTGAGGAGGCTATTATTTCGCCCACTGAATGTGTGTAATTGTGTGGTTGTGTGTGTGTGTGTGCGCCTCACGAGCCCCAAAGTCCATGAATCGCAGCGTTGACAGAGCCAACCGCAGCGTGGTGAACTGACGACACATTGGAGACTGCATGCGTGCCTCTGCGCAAGCACAGAGTCCGCTGCAGATGGGGCTCGGGAGAAGGCATGGAAGCGTGCACGACACAGTATGGTTGGTGAAGCCGCACAAGAGCCCAACATCGATGAGGAAGAGGGGGTTACACAGACGATGAGAAGGAGGACGATGAGGATGATAAGGAAGGAGGAGGAGGAGGAGGAAAGGATCAGGGGCGGGGGGAGGGAGGCGGATTGCGAAGAAGAAGGAGGAGGAACACAAGTTCACTTGACGGCATCCGCGGTGTTACTCAGACTCTATTCGCTCGAGAGATCCGCGAGACCGCAGGTTCAAAGAGAGAAGCAGGAGGTGGAGGGGAAGGCGGGAGGAGGAGGAGAAGGAGGAATAGGAGGAGGGATTGGGGGGCGACGAGGGCGAAAGAGAGTAGAGGAGGAAAAGGAGGATGAGGAAGGAAGGAGGAGGATGATTAGGCAGGAATGGAATGCGACGAGAAGGAATAATGAGAAGAATACTCACACGAATAACAATGATAATGCTACCAAGGTGGAGGATGACGAGGAGGAGGAGGAGGCGAAGGAGGGAGAGGAGGGAGGAGGTGGGGGGGGAGAGGAAGAGGAAGGGATGAGTTGATTTTATTGGGGAGTCAAGTTCTTCGAGCTCTTCGGCAGGTTAGCTCAGCCCGCTAAGCAGAATGCACTCGTCCAGTCTGCCTTCTTTCCCTCCTCGCTTTCCCTCCCCCACTTCCTTCTCCTCTTGCCATCTTCCCTCATCTATCCTCCCCTCCCCCTCTCCTTCTCTCCCTCCGACCTCCTCTTTCTCCTCTCCCCCCCTTTCCCTCCCCCTCCCTCTCCCCCTCTCCCTCGCTCCCTTTCTCTCTCTCTCTCTGTATCGGTCTTTCGCTCTGGCGTTCTGTCTTTCGATTTCTCTGTCTCTCTTCTTCTCTGTCTTTCTGCTATCATCTTTCTCTGTCTCCCTGTCTCTTTATCTCTCTGTGTCTCTGTCACAGTGTTTTTCGTTTTTTTGTTGTTTTGTTTCTATCTCTCTCTCTCTCGCTCTTGCTTTCCCTCTTTCAACTCAGCCAGCTGCCTACGGCGAGTCCTGCCACCGTGTCTGGGCTGCGGGTATGAAGCCTGTTGGATGTTCTTTGGGATCTCGTGAGACCTCTCTCGGGGGCCTCTTGGAACAGTTTTTCTACCCTCTTGGACCGCTTTGCGAGCCTCCTGTGCCGGCATTGAAGCCTTGTAGAGCCCCAGGGAGGCGCCATGGGCTCCAGGGGACTCGCCTGCGAATAGAAGCGATGCGAGCCCCTCACAAGGCCACAGAAACCCTGCCAGGCAGTTTTTGGCAGTCTTCCACGCCTCAACGTGCCGCAGGCAGGGCGGCGGAATTGTGCATCCAAGTGTGTATATATATGTATACATATATGTATATTTATATGCATGTACGCATGTATGTATGTATGCATGTAGACCGATGTCCGTGTATGCATGCATGCAGTTATGAATGTATGTGTATGCATGTCTTCATGTATGTATGTATGCATGTATGTGTACATGCGCGCGTGCATGTATGTATGTGTGTATGTGTGCACACGTGTGCATGTATACATGTAAGTATGCATGCATACATGTATGAATGTATGTGTTTATGTGTGTGCCTGTTTTGCTGTCTGTCTGCCTGCCTGCCTGTCTGTCTGTCTGTCGTTATGTATGTCGGTCTGCCTGTCTGTATGCATGTATGCATGTATGCATGCATACATGTATTTATGTATGTATGTATGCATGTATGTGTGGCTTCATCTCTGTCGGTCTGCCTGCATGCGTGCATGCATGGTTGTGTATGTGTATGTGAAGGTGCATGTGTATGTGTATGTGTATGTGTATATGTTTGTGTAAGCGTACGTCTATGTCCATGCCTACGTAGGTATCTGTGTACGTACGCATGTTTGTATGTAGTGTAGTGTAGTGGAGTGTATTGTGTTGCATTGCGTGTATGTGTGGATGCATGCGTGTACATGTACGTATGTCCGTATGCATGCATTGCAGGTATGCTTGTAATTGGTACGTATATCTCTATATATATGTATGACTGTGCGATTCGCACTCATTGTATGTATGTGCGCATGTATTGTGTGCATGTAGGTATGGATGTATGTAGTCATGTTTGTATGCATGCATGCATGCATGCGTGCACGCATTGCATGAGTATATGGATGTGTTTGTGTATGTATGTATGTATGGATGCATGTTTGCAGGTATTACGCATGCATGTATGTGTATACTGCATGTATGCATGTACGTAGGTATGCATGTATGCATGTTTTGTACTGCTGTGTGTTGTAGGGTATTGTTGTATTGAAGAGTATTGTATGTCTGCTTGCCTGCCTGTGTTTCTGTCTGTTTGTCTGTCTGTCTGTCTGTCTGTCTGTCTGTCTGTCTGTCTGTCTGTCCGTCTATCTGTCTGTCTGTATATATGTATGTCTGTGTGCCTGTACGTCTGCGTGTCTTCATGTCTGTACGTCTGCATGTTTGCACGTCTGTGCTTATGTATGTATGTATGCATGAATGCATGTATGTATGTATGCACGTCTGGATAATATCATATACAGGGGTACCGAGGCTGGCCGGCCCCCCCTCCCGGATTTCCTTCCCCTTTTGTCGGCACCGGGAAACAGGACCCCCCCAGCCTCCGGGGCCTCCCTCTGGCCGTTCAAATCATTTCCGGGGGGCACACATGAGCGACCAGAGCGGCCCAACAGGGCCTCAAGACGCCTCAAGATGGCTTCAAGACGGCCGAAGAGCCATCAAGAGGCCCCCCAAACTCCCCGAGAAGGCTCCAAGATCCCAGGGGGCCCTGGATGGCTAAAAATGTGCGCCATTCTCGTTGGAATACATGTATTTCCATCATGACCATTTTGAAGTCTCAACAACGTCCAATGTGGCCCAATATGCCCCCAAGATCGCCTCAAGACGGCCCAAAAGGCCCCCAAGAGAGCTCTCAAACTGCCCAAGAGAGCCCAAGGGCGGTTCAATAGGCTCCCAAAACGGCTTCAGATGGCCCAAAGAGGGGCCCACGAGGGGGAACTCCAACTCACATGTCGAGCCCTCTGCCCCAAGTGCAACCCCAGACCGCCAGCAGGCCCCCAAGCTGTCCACAAGAGGCCCCGAGAAGCTCCCAAGCAGCCCCCAAATGCCCCCAGAGGCTTCAAAACTGGCTCCAAGAGGCGCCCGAGAAGCACGCCAGGAGACCCCAGCAGGTATCCAAGAAGCCTCTGACCCACAACCCAGGCACGGTGGCAGTACGAGCCGCGAGCGGACAGCAAGCCACCCTGCAGTCCAGTCGGGCTTGCTTCGCCTTGGCGGGCGTCAGCGTCGCGCTAGCCTGAGGGGACGAGGACCGAGGAACTTAGTTTTGGGCGACGGGCCATTTTCATGACAATGAGGCGGTCCATTCGTAGCCTGAGGCACCCCCCTGGCCGCGAGACGCGGTCAAAGAGGGGTGCCCAGGTTGCTGGCCGCGAGACGTGGTCAACGGGAAGTGCCCGCGAGCCGTTCAAGACGAGCGCTGAGCGAGGAGAGAGGAGTTTAGTTGGTTCTCTTGGTTTCCGCTCAAGTCTCCACTCTCTGTCTCTCTCCCTTTTGTCTCCTCGGGTATCCCCCCGTTTTGTCCTGAGGCGCACCACCCAGGCCGCGAGACGCGGTCAAGGGGGGGGGGGCCCAGGAGGCGATCAAGGTTAAAACCGTGGTGTCCCCTGGCGCCCCCCCGGCCGCGAGAAGCGGTCAAGGGGGTGCCCGGGGGGCGCTCAAGGTTGAAGACGTGGTGTCCCGAGGCGCCCCCCTGTTTGCGAGACGCGGTCACGGGGGGGGGGGACGTGGGGCGCTCAAGGTTGAAGCTGTGGTGTCCCGAGGCGCACCCCCCGCCGCGAGACGCGGTCAAGGAGGGGGGGTTCCCGGGGGACGCTCAAGGTTGAAGCCGTGGTGTCCCGAGGCGCCCCCCCCCGGCCGCGAAACACGGCCAAGGGGTAGCGCTCAGGGGGCGCTCAAGGTTGAAGTCGTGGTGTCTCGAGGGGCCCCCCGGCCGCGAGACGCGGTCAAGGGTGGGGGAGTGCCCGGGGGGCGCTCAAGGGTAAAGCTGTGGTGTCCGGACGCCCCCCAGCCGCGGGACGCGGCTAAGGGGGGAGCGCCCGGGGACCTTTGTCCTGAGGTATTCTCTCACCGTTTCATTATATCGTGTGCTTCCTTGCAGCCACATGCATGACCCGTCCAATCAATCTACGCCTAGACGGTCCTAAGGGCGCCCAAGACGCCCCAAGAGAGCACCAAGAGGGCCCCACGGGAGACCCAAGAGGTCCTACGAGGGTGCCAAGAGGGGTCGTGGGCCAGTACTTGGGAGGGTATACAAGGCTCCTAACATGCCCCCGAGACCCCCGGGAGGCTCTCACCGATTTCAAGAACCCCCCAGAGTAGCCCCGGAGAGACGCCTAGAGGCCCCCAAGAGGCTTTGCATAGGCTTCAAGATGCCCCTGAGAATCACGCCGCGAGCCCACGAGAGGCGTCCAAGACGCCTGTAAGACGCCCGTAACTGATGATCCATGTCAGAGTGTGTCGACATGGGCAGGGCGGTGGGATGCGAGCCCTGTCTCTGGGGCCGTTGGTTTTGGGGCGCGATCCGTGTGAGGAGTGAGTCGAAATACGCGGGGGGGCGCTCTGCGAACTTTTCCATTCGGGCAGCACGTGGAACTACACCTTTCTGGGGCACGATCCGTGTGAAGGGTGCGCCGAGACGGGTTATGGGACGCGTGCGAGCTTTTTCCCTGGCACTGTAAGTGGAGCTCCCCGGGGGGGGGGGGGGCGCGATCCGTGTGAGGGGCGTGACGACATTGGCGGGGCGATGCCATGTGATCCGCGTGATTGGTATTCTTTCATGTTGAGATCAAACCGATTTTGGGTCACTACTTCAGTCGAGGGCTGCGGCTTGCTAGAGCCTTGGATGCGCTTCGTGCCGCCGCCACCGTCGCGGTGCCACCGCTGCCTCCGTTTCGCCGCGGGCGTTTCGGTACGAGACTGGTGCCGCGCGCGCCAGGCTCCACCCCTGCCAGACCAACAAGGGGCTTCTTGGAGCCCACTTCGGGATCCCCTTGCGGCACCCTTGACGCCGCTCTTGGGGCTGCTCGTGAGCCCTTGCGACTTGCTTTGAGGGCTGAAGGGGTGTTTCCTTGGGTCCTTTCTTTCTGACGCCATCTTCTGGCTTTCTTGTGGCGCCTCTGGGGTGCCCCCTGTGCCTCATTCTGGAGCCTGATTGGAGCTCCTTGGGCCTCGCTGGGCCCCCCTTGGAGCCTCTCCCGGGGAACTCATTGGCTGTTCTTGGGTGCCTTTTGGCCCTGACTTGGGCCCTCCTTGGGGTGCTCTTGGGCTCTTTCTAAGGCGGCTCGCCCCTGGGATCTATGAGTTCCCGGAATCGTGTTCGGTCTTTTGCGTTACTCTGCATCATTATATTTGTGTTGGGTTGTTTTCCGTTGCATGTACCATTTCGTTGTTTCGTGATCCACATTGTTTTGGTGAGCATTGCTCCACTTTGCTTTGATGTGCAACGCATTGTATTGTTGTGCACTTGTTTGGGTAACTTGTGCTTGTAATGCTTCGAGCCGCATTGGGCCCACATCTGGCTTGATTGCATGGCAATGCGTTGCAATGCGCTGCAATTTTGGTCATTGCATTGCTGACACTGGTGCGCATAGCTTCGCAGCGAATATCATGCTAATGTCCGTGTCGGCACTTCGTATCTGCTCTGTCCGCGCTATAGATGCAATGTACCCCATGCTCAAACCATTTGCGGGTAAATACTTCAGTGGCTATCTGACCTTGTCAAGGGCTCTGGCTGACTAGAACCGTCACGCGCGCGAATCGCGTGCGTTGTTTTAATGCATGTATGTATGCGTACACATATGTATGTATGCATGTATGCAGACATGGATGTATGTACGCATGCATACATGCCTGTATATACGTATGTTTGTTTGTAAACACAGGTATATTTACATGTGCATATCTATATATATATACACACGGAGGTATGTGTGCCTGTCTGTGCGCATGGTTGCATGCATGTATGCGTGTATGTATGATTGGGTGCATGCATGTTTGTGTTGCTGTATGTATGTTGTTATGTTTGTATGTGTGCATGCATGCATGCATATACGTATGCATGTATGTCTACCTGTATGCATGTATTTATGTGTGCATGTATGTATATATGTATGTAGGTATGCATGTGTGTATGCATCTGTACGTGTATGGCATGCATGCGTGCATGCATGCAGGCCTCCCTGCATATATGTATATATACATATGTGCGTACACATCTGTGTCTATGTGTATGTGCATAGTTGCATGTGTATAGATGTGTGCACGCACGTGCATGTATGTATGTACGATTGTATTTACGTATGCATGCATGCATGCATGCATGTGTGTATGTCTGTGTGTATGTATGTCTGCATGTGTGTATGAATGTATGTAGGTGTGTGTATGCATGTATGCATGCATGTATGTAAGTACGCGTGTATGTATGTATGCATGGGTGTACGTATGTATGTTTGCATGTATGGATGTATGTATGTAGGTGTTGATGTATGTGTCGGTGTATACGGGTGTGAATGCATGTTTGGATGTGAGTACGTGTGTACGTATGTATGCTCGTGTGCATGCATGTATGTATGCATGTATGCATGTATGTGCGCAGGTGCGTATGTAGGTATGTACGTACGTATGTATGTAGGTATGGACGTATGGATGTATGCATGTATGTATGTATGCGTGTATGTATGTAGGTTTGCAAACAGGTGTGTAAGTGTGTATGTGTGTAGGTATGTATGTTTGTATATGTATATATATGTATATGTACATATGTATGTATGTATATTTGCATGCATGCATGCATGCATGCATGCATGCATGCATGTATACATGTATGTATGCATGCATGCATGTATGTATGTATGTATGTATAGATGTATATATGTGTATATGTGTATGTAGGTGTGTATGTGTGCGTTGGTGTGTTTGGCTGTATGTATGTATGTATGTATGTATGAATGTATGTGTATGTATGTATGTATGTATGTATGTATGTATGTATGTATGTGTGTAGGTGTGCACGTCTGTCATTATCGTGATCCTTGATTGTTGCCCGTCTTTGATTGGTCTCCGATGCTCCTTTCCCTTTTTGCCGCTCCTCTCACCTCCCTCCGTTTCTCCTTCCTCCTCCTCCCTCCCACATCTCCTCCTCCGTTCTTTTCTCCCGTCTCCCCCTTCCCGTCCTACGTTCCTCTTTGTCCTTTCTTTTCTCCTCTCTCCTCCCCCTCCTCCCTGATCCTTCCCCTCCTCCCTCTCCTCCACCCCCTCTCTCGCTCCTCGTTCTCTCTCTCTCTCTCTCTCGCCTCCCTCGCTCCCTCTCCTCCTCCTCCTCCTTCTTCTCCTCCTGCTTCATATGATTCATAGCTGGGGTCTCCAGCGGCCGTTCGGGACGACTCGGGCACTCCTGGAACACTCGGCGGGGCGCAGTTGGTGGAACACATCTTGAGGATGGAGCACCGCCGAGAACCGACGAGAACGTCCGAGAAGCTCGATCTTCAATCTGGCGAGCCTCCCCTCCCTCTTCTGTTCTGGCCGTCCCCCTATCTCCGCCCAGGCCCGTGGCCCTTTGGCCCCGGGAGGTGATCAAGGCGCTCCACGAGCAGATGAAGGCCCAGGCCGACTGGCACCGCCAGAGGACCGCGGGTGCCACGTCCCTCGTCTGGCTCGAGATCCCCAGCCAGTCACCCCAACAAGCGCTGGCCAGTTGCAATCGAAGAAGAAGTGCTGCATAAGTAGGAACTTCCGGACCTCCCCGCTGATTTCGTAGATTTGCGCTGGGCCCCCAGGGGCAGCGCCTCCGCGCCGCCCCTGGCGCGCTCCGCGTGCCAGGGAGAGGGGCCCAGCGTGGATCCCAGAAATCCGCGCGGACCTCCAACCGTTTATCCTTCCACCGCTCCCTGTTCCTCCAGGTAAGCCCCAGATGGTGTTCATGCGGTCGCAGCGGGCCGTGCTGACAGAAACTTCGTCGTAAGTCATTCGTGGATCGACTGGTTGGTTGATCTTTACCTCCTTCTCCTCCTCCTCCTCCTCCTCTTGATTTAAGCTTCGGTCTGTTTTCTTCTTGCCTCCCCTGCCCTTCCCCCTGTCTGCATGTGCACTGAATCGTGAACCGGTTATCGCCTTTTCCTGGTCCTCTCAGAGGGCCAGTGTGCCTCGCAGCGCGCCCATCGCCTATGGCCCGCCGCGGGCACTGACGGCTCGCTTCGCTTCTCTTCGCTCCTCCTGATTGAAGCCTCCTCGGCGGCCCCCCCTGGGCTCTTCGGATGGGGCTAGGACGATGAGAAATCCGTTCCAGAGTGTGTTCCAGAACGCTCTCATAGCGTTCCACAACGCTCTGAGGAGGCCTTGAAGCGTGCCTAAACACCACTCTCAGGACTTCAACGCCGCGAGTTAACCTGACTGTTACGTCTTGGCGATCTTGAATCGTGCCAGAACTTCATTCCTGGGACTTCAACACCGCGAATCCACATAATTGTTGCGCCCAGACAGTCCTGACTCGTTCCGACATATCATTTCTGGTACGTTAACCATGAGGGCCAATGAATGTCTGGCAAATGTTTACAAAGAGTGTGCGCGGGACTAGAGCGAGAGCCCAGCTTTGAAAACCAGCCGCCCTCAGTCCGTGATTACCTTGCAGTCTTTTAGAGCGGATGCGCGCAGCGCTAAGGCGAGAGCCACATTTTGAAAACCACTCGCGGTCCATCTGTGAAGCGGTTGCCAGTTTTTAAGTCTCAGGATCACACATGGTGAGGAAGTCTCCGGCGAAACGCCCGGCCCGCCCTTTCGACCGGCCTCAGGGTGCGACAGGGATCAGTTATCCATAAGGATAAGGAATGGAGGAGGAGGAGAAGGAGGAGGAGGAGCAGGAGGAGGAGGAGCAGGAGAAGGAGGAGGAGCAGGACGAGGAGGAGGAGGAGGAGGAGGAGGAGGAGGAGGAGAGGGAGTAGGAGGAGGAGGAGGAGGAGGAGGAGGAGGAGGAGGAGGAGGAAGCGAAGGAGGAAGGAGGAGGAGGAGGAGGAGGAGGAGGAGGGAGGAGGAGGAGAGGAGGAGGAGGAGGAGGAGGAGGAGGAGGAGGAGGAGGAGGAGGAGGGAGGAGGGGAGGGGGGGGGGGAGGAGGGGGGGGGGGCGGAGGAGGAGGAGGAGGAGGAGGAGGAGGAGGAGGATTTTTTGGGCATCCGCAGCCACAGAGCCCCTCAAAGGGGGCAAACATACCCGATATCGGCAGTGACCCCGACCCTCTAATGATCAAGGTGGAGACCTTTGCCCAATCTCGTCCAGACTTCACTCCGAGCGGGCGGGCTGCCAAGGCATTGCTTAGCAAGCCGCCTCATCTGACCTCCACTCGTGAACGCAGCACAGACCTGGCAGATACACGCGAAACTTCCGTCGCTGAAATCCACGACGAGGCAGCGATGCTCGAACTCCTGCAACTAAGCGGACTAACCTTTAAACGGGGATGACAAAATCCAGGAGCTGGCTTAGCCGAGGATCGGGATCCGCGGAGGCAGTGGCAACACTGCCAGAAGCGACCGACCCAACTCTAAACATGTGGTGGCCTCGGATCTTTGACCTGCGGGGGCGGGGGCTCAGCACGGGTAGCCCCCTCGAGATTCGTCCGAGGCCATCTTTCCATCAGGTGCGCCGCCAGGCGTGTGACAGTACGCGAGACCATACACAAAACATCATTCCTTGTTGCTTCCGGCTCAGAAAGCCTGGGATGCATTGAAGCGCCCTCTTTGGCGGCGCTATCTGCTGCATTGTTCCCGATGATGTGGAGACGCTCGGCCCAAGGATTGGCCTTGTCGTCATCCCTGTGGGCCCGAACCTTGGAAACACCACGGAGTAAACCCTGACCGAAGGCGTCTTCCTGCAATACAAGCCCCGCGTAGGGCCTGTTGGGGTGCAGACGGTCCTGGTGATGGTTCCCGAATTCGTTGACCATTACCAGGTAGTGACTACCTGGTAATCAGAATAAAAATCCGCAGCACTAGAAAGAACAGAGGCAGCACTAGCAGGGGCAGCAGATTCAGCAGCAACACTGGTCTGACGGTAAAAACTTCCTAACGGCCCTCACATATTGGCCAAACTTCTACCATTGTCGCTAAGCCAACCAACTCCCCATCCAGCCCTAGAGAGGTCCTTGACCTTAGACCTGAAACAGGACCCGTCGCCGTACAACTTCCCCGAGAGCTCCCGAACCTCTGGGTCAGGCGGAGGGAGCTGCTCCTCGGCGAAAGCCTCTGGGTAGAAACAGAACTGGACGGTTTCCATAGCTTGTTCCTGGGAGAGCGGCTGAGGAACGTCACTGCCAGGGTGCTGGAAGAGGTCCGATCGCAGAGGAATTCAAAACCAGGGGGCGGGTCCAAAAGCTCCGACCGAATCCTGTCCAGTAGTTGGCTACCAATGAGATCGGCTCGCTCGTCTTCACCAGCGGGACAGTGCCACAATTTATGGAGCATCTCGTGTCTCCAGCCTGGCCGCACAAAGGGCAAAAGTCCGCCACCAAGTAACCTTTGTCTCGAGCGCGAGCCAACGGCCAAATCGCCCTACAAACAACAGCGCGAATACAACCCTTCTGCTTTTTCCGAAAGCTTTTTGGAGGTAAGGGCCCGAGAGATGATGGCGAAACAAAGCCGACGACCGTCACAATACTTGGAGCCCACTTCGATCTCCAACCATTTCAACACCGATGCTGTAAGGAAATGCCACACTAAGGCAGGTGAGGTGAGCATAAGGGGAATCTGTCTACCCTCCCTCTTCATCCACCATCGTGAACGGGTCTAACATCGTCCAGTTGATACGCTGCAGCGGTAAGTACATAGCTCAAAAACGGCCACGGACCGATCTCCAAGACTTCGGGGGCGAGCGCCACGTAGCACTCCATGCCAGCCTGAATTGGTCCCAAGATGATACCAGAGAAAAACCCAGTCATAATCTTTTTAGGGCTGTAGGGCTATAGGGCTACAGGGCTATATGGGCTCTTGGGCGCTATATGGGCTATATGGCTATATGGGTTATGGGGCTATAGGGCTATAGGGCGATAGGGATATAGGGCTGTAAGGCTATAGGGCTACAGGGCACCGGGCACCCGGGCACCCGGGCACCCGGCACCCGGGCACCCACGCTGGCACCGGGCACCCGTCACCCGGGCACCCGGGCACCCGGGCATCCGGGCACCCGGGCCCGGCCACCGAATCGGCGGCGAACCCGGGCACCCGGGCACCCGGGCACCCGGGCCCGGCCACCGAATTGGCGGCGAACCCAGGCACCCGGGCACCCGGGCACCCGGGCACCCGGGCACCCGGGCCCGGCCACCGAATCGGCGGCGCACCTCACCTACCCTTAAATCCGCTAGGACCCCTACAGAGGCAAGCTCTGACTGGGGAAGAAAGCCCACGGGGTAGCCCAAGTCTGAAGAAGCCAGAGTTCCTTGCAAGAACGAACGATGGGGGCCACGCTGCCAAACCACGAAGGGTCGTTTTCGATACGGGCCAGAATGGATAAACTCAGATTTCCACTGGATGGCTTCATCGTCGTGGCGCACATGCGCCGAGCTCTGGTCAACCCCGCATCCGACATCCCGTGGACTTCGGAGCCGTACTGCAGGCCCGCGAGGGGGCCTTGGATAAAAAACCTCAGTTGCTCGGCGGCATAGAACAGGCCTCTGATTAGCGAGGCGACGTGACCTGCGTGCCGCCGCTGAGATGCGAGCCTTCGCCTTAGCAGTCCTACCACGCACCCTACGAGGCAAGCCAGCGGTAACGTCGATCCCAAGATTGGCGGTGGTTTCGCGCCACGGCCCAACAAGGGCCCCAAACTCGCCCTGGAGACGGGAAGCGACCACCCTGGAGCTCGAAACAAAGGCAGCCTTGTCCATAGAAATCTGAGCCTGCATCATATCGGCGATGGCAACACGCAAAGCCTCCGCAGAAACACGGAGGCTGGAGATAATGTGGCTGATGGTGCCCTCGCAATTCAGCCCCGAGTCACCGATGCATATATCAAGCGTGGTGTTCGGTCCCAGGGGCACAGAGTCAGACGATTCGATCCCGAACGCTTTGATCACCGATGTCGCCATCGAGCATCCAGCCACAACTCCGAACTCGGCGTGAAGAGCGGGTGCGACAACACCGCACAGGACCATGCACCTGGCCGAGGGGTAAGCACAAAGACAGACCCCCGCCAAAACAGGGTGGAAGTTAAGCCTGTGGCAGCGCTGCTCAAGCAGCGTTAAGGGGTTCTGCTCGTAGTATTTCAGTATGTCCCAGAATAGACCTCCTGAGTGGAGCTGCGAGGCCGTGCTGGTCTCCGACTTCACAGCCTGTCTCCACACAGTGTCCGTGGCGCTACGATATCTCCCCGCGGCCCAGCAGGGCCGATCGTGATCCAGCTCCCGGGCCTCGGCCCAGGGTCTTCGGCACCGCCCCCAGAGGCGGTGGGGGCTCGTGGAGACCCCGATCAGACGGACGCCACAATGAAAGCACGGAGCTGCTTAGGCAGGAGCGCCGCGGACTCGGCCACCGAGAAAATCTGCGCCAGACACTGCAGCGAGGCGTCAGACAGAAACTGGTAGCGCCGCATGTGAAAGCCATCCAGCCCAACAGCAGAAGTTCTGGAAAAAGAACGCGAGATCCT